GTGAAGCACACCCGGGGATCCCAGCGGTGCCTCCAGAATGTAAGACTGAGGGCCTTACCAAACGCTCCGAGGAGCTGACTGTAGCGAAGAACACCCGGGAGGGAACACACCGGACAAGTTGGAAAGTAAAACAGACCTTTATTAGTCTGGCCAGACGGCACTCCCAAAGCAAAGTAGCTTAGAGAGGCAACTGGCTCAGAGTCCGAGGCTGTTTTTATAGGGGGTTGAGGGGGAGGTTAACATGTAGATTTATGAGAAAAGGAATAAGGGTTAGTGGTCAACTGTCACGTACTGATGGTCACGCACACACTAATGGTCACGACTATCACGTACTGATGGTTGGCAGACACACACACAGTAATGGTCACGACTGTCACGTAGTGATGGTCGGCAGACACATTAATGGATTGTCCTACAGATAGTGGGTCCAGGAACGTCCATTCTCCGGACAAACAAAGATTTGAGTAATTTACCTTTAAAACTCCATGTCTGTTACAAATTTTATCTAGCTTCCCAGAACTAACAAGCTTCTTAATCATTAGTTCACATTTAATTGTAGTCGGGGCTACAAGAATTCTAAGATTACAAGGTTTTGCAGTCCCACAAGGCCACCTGCTGTCACCCCTCCCTCCCGGGAGTTGCGCTGCTGCTTCGCTGCTGTGTCTCCCTGAGACTGGTTTCTCCTGCACTGTCTCAGCGAGCTGTTGCTCATCACTGAATGAATGAAGGAGTGAATGCACACCTGAAGAAGAATAGGTGTCTGCGTGGAGGGAAGGGACCGGGGAATAGAAAAGCCTAGGGGAAGGGAAGAGGGAAGACTCATGAGACTCAAGTTATATTACAATGCACCCACTTTTGCCTGTTTTCTGACAAATGTGTTTTCTCAACCTCAAACATTCAAGAACATCTCTTCAGGTTTGGTCCCATGTCTCAAGCCAAAACCTTTGGCTTTTCAAGAAAATACCCCCAAAAGGAAACAAAGCTTTTGTAAATGAGGAAGGGGAAGAAGCCGGAGGGGACAAAGGAAACAAAGGAAACATAGGAAAATTAAGACATACCATGTACAGGTACAAATTTCCTATGATGACGATGATCATTATATGTGACAGATATGTACTAATTTTTAAAAATAAATTAAAAAAATTTAAAAATACCGCCCTCCCCCCCACCCAATTTGCTTTTCTGCTCTCTGGCTCAGAAATCTCAAGTTGTTTTTATTTTTTATTTTTTGGGGTACTGGGGATTGAACTCGGGACCTTGTGCTTGTGAGGCAGGCAGCGGAACCACTGAGCTAAATCCCCAGCCCAAGAAAGAACTTGCTTTTTTTTTTTTTTTGGTACTGGGAATCGAACTTGGGTCCTTGTGCTTGTGCAGCAGGCGGTGAAACCACTGAGCTAAATCCCCGGCCCAGAAATCTCAAGTTGTAAATCCAGCCAAGCAGAAAACCCACCACCTGTATATGGGGCAGGGATGAACACTAGAATTCCATGCTCAAAGTGACTGGTCAGGCACTATTTATACTACAGCCTAAATATCCAGCTTTATGCCATGCCCCAAAGAGGGAATGATATTCACCCATTAAAAGAATTTAATGACTTGGGAAGATGCTTGTATCATTTGTTAAGTGAAAAACAAAAAAGCAGGTTATAAACTGGAGGGTAGCTTATAAACCGATCACTAATATGTAGACCATGGACCGGGGGAAAACGGCAGGAAAATACACCAGGATGATGCAGGTGGTTTTCTCCGGGTGGTAGACAATGGATGTCTTCCTCATATCTCTAAATATGCCTCCCCACTCTTTCCCTGGCTTTTCTCGGGAGTTACTGTTTACCTTCTTTGTTCAGTCACCCACATCTGCCTCCAGGCCTTGTCCTGAGCTGCTCTCCACCTGCCTTCAGCAACCTCCTGCAGGTGCTTGCCCAGCCACTTGGCAGCTCCTGATATCCCACCTCTCCGGGAAGCTGTGCCTCACAACCAGGAAGCAGGAAGCCTTGCTCATCCCCAGCCGGCCTGTATGCTGTGCCCCCACATCCTGCCTCACTCATGGGTGCAAGAAAATACCCTGCCTCTTTGCTGGGCTTGACCTTGAAGGATGTTTCTTGCTGTGGTCCTGTAGGATTCTGTATGTGGTCTCAGAATTGCAACTTCCAAAAAGAAGTTTTTGAAGAAGTTGAAGTGGCCACTCATCTCAGCACTGTTGCATGATGAATCGTGATGATGGTAATGACATTTCAGTCTCCAAGTCCTGATCTGCCACAGGGACGACTTCCCTTGATCGTTTACAAACCATCCAAAACCATCATTAGACAGCTTAAGAAGTGAGCAACAGTGTTTTCGCTTAACCTGGACCTTCAGCTTTTTAAAAAAAAATGTATTAGCTCTATCCCAAGAAGTTTGGCCCAGGGGAAATAAATAGGAAATAGTACTGCAGATGTAGCTCACATGCATTTAGGTTGCTCATGAGTTGATCTGCCCAAGGATACATACAAGGTATTCCTGAGTTGGAATCATATTAGAGATGCCTACTGGAAAAAGTTGGTGGGTTAGCAAGCATTTGGGGGCCTAAGTGCACCAGATATGTAGTCATAGAGCACTTGGGATATGTGTGGCCTCATCAAAGTAATAAACAAAGCGGGAGTGATTATTCCTGCCTGACTTCCTCGTCACCTTTTACACCCACATGAAGCATAAAGGCTCTGAGGATCCCACAGACAGTCCTGTGGTTCCTACAAGAAAGGAGTGTGCATCATAACTCTTGGGGAGGATTGGGCCGACTCCTCCAGGCTGTGTAGGTATGAATCCCAATGGAAGTGGAGACCCAGACAAATGGAATATCCAGACATCAAGCTTTGATGTCTGAAACTGAGAAAACAAGATTTGGCGTGCCAGCCTTCCTTGTCAGTCTGGTATGCCACCTGTCATCTTCAACAAGGTAAACAAACCACAGGCAGAGTTTTCCTCCCCACAGAACTTCGCCCTTTTTCCTGATTAGGCCTGGGTACTGTTTGGCAATCGGAACTGAGCAGAATGAGGGTGGGCAGGCCTTTCTCCGTTCCACCCTCTTTCACGTATTTAAAGTAGAATAAGCAGGTAAGTGACCACCATGTTTGTCAACCTTTCTCCATTCCTGCCACCAAAATGCAGACCTTTGTTATGCTTTCCTGAGGCTACTAGAGTTGACATTTCCCTCCTGTCCATCTTATGATGAAGATGGAGGTTCTGAGATTCCCACAGGAGATCCTGAGGAAGGTTCCTTCACCCTGCCATTTCCATGGTGTGTGTTCTTGTTTAATGGGACACATAAACTGAGGGGGAGATGGAAACGCTGATGATGATGAAAGGGGGCTTGGGGACCAGCAGGAAAAGAGAGAGTGGGGAGATCAGTGACAGCAGAGAGGAAGCTTAGTGGGGAATTTTGTGTGTTGGCATCGAGTTCCCTGTGTTCTGTCTTCCCCATCTTTCAGGCCTTCAAGGAAACTTCTGTCTCTTGCCGGTGGGCTATGGAGTTGAATCTGTTTGCCTGGGCAACTTGCCCCTTCAACATATGTTTATTGAGTAATGAGTAGCTACATTACACAAGAAAATGTTTTCAGTGCCGAGGATTAAGTAGTGAGTAAAACATCCCCAGTACACAAGTTGGATGAACACACAACCTGGATGAATCTCTAATGAACACTGCTGTGTGGGGAAAGCCAATCCCAGAAGGTTACTGTAATTCTACTGATATGACATTTCTAAAATGACAGTTGGCAAATGATGGTGAATATGGGTTAGGGAGTTAGAGAAAGGTGGGTGTAATGATTAGAAAGCAACTTGGGGGATCCTTGGGCTGATGAACTATTCTTTATCTTACTGTGGTGGTGAATACTGGAACCAATTTTATACATTTGAAAAAGTTGCTGTGAGTTAAGCAATTTTTTTTTGTCTTGCACACACAGAAGAGTACAAGTAAAACTGGGAAAATCTGAATGAGAATAGTGGGTGTAGGGTCAATGTCAACATCTCGGCTGTGATGTTGTACTCTATAGTTTTGCAAAATGTTACCACTGGGGAAGGCTGGAGAGAGTTCCCTTGGGAATCTTCCTATACTTCTTCTTCTTTTTTTTTTTTTTGGTACCGGGGATCAAACTCAGGACCCTGCCTTTTGAGGCAGGTGGCAGAACCACTGAGCTAAACCCCTGGCCCTCCTATACTACATCTTAGACCTGTACATGCATGTACAATTACCTTAAAGAGAATTTCAATTAAAAAACAAACAACTCTGGCCTAGTGGATCCTACGTTGCTGCTGAAGCCCAGTATGATTTCATGGTGGTTGCAGGCAAAAGCCAAGACCACCCTGGGCACGTCTGCCCTCTCTGCGGTATTTTATGCACGGCCACCAGAGATTTCTCCCATCCTGGAGACCCATTATTGAGTTTCCATGGTGACTGCTGGAATTCAGACGTGGGGAAGGGGCTGGTGCAGAGCAGAGTGCGACCCCCACCCTCCTGACCCCATCACCCGAGTGCTGAGTGCCGGACTCACCCAGTGTGTCCTTGGCTGTTTACATCACGCTCCAGGCACCGGTACTGTAGACCAGGAAGGTGAGACTCAGATGCCGGGGGCCGCCCAGTAATCCCACGGAAGCCCAGTGGGCTTGTTGCCAGCTTCCTCCCTCCGTCCCCATAGCCACCCTGCTGGCAGCCCCCAGTCTCCCTCTGTGCTGCCCAGGGCCCCGTCTATCCTACAATTTGGAATCTCCTTTCCCTCAGGCACAGGTGAGGCTCGGGAGCAAGGGGGAAGTCTTCCTACAGCCTTGGCCTTGGACCTCAGGCCTGGCATGGCCTCTGCCGCGCTGCTCTGGTCAATGCGCAGCGCCCGCAGCCCGGAGTCCCGCACCTTCCCTCAGCCCCAGTGATCTTGCTGGCGGGGAGCCATCAAGGTCTGCAACGCTGTTCCACTGCCTTAGAAGAACTTCAGAGGATGAAGCCATGTAAAAATAAAGTAAGGTCTGAACACACTGTAAAGTTTTTATTCTTTCCTATTACGCCACGTCTTGCATGCAGTGGCCGCAAAGCAGCCACAGAGCTTGCTAACAGGGCACGGCTGAGGAAGCTGGACCTCCGCACCAAGACTGGGTCCTTCAGAAAGGAGGGCGAGAGAGGAGGAGAGAGGGGAGAGGGAGGGAGCAGTGGTAAATAGGTGTCATCTTTTCTCCAGCATATTGTGGTACTTCTTCCAAGAATGTGATTGAATACACTTTGATTCACAATCAAGGTCTTTATAATAAAGAAAAAAGGTAGGGTCTAGGGTTTAGCTCAGTGGTTCCGCCGCCTGCCTCGAAAGCGCAGGGGCCTGAGTTTGATCCCAGGCACACACAAAAAAGGCTCTCTTAGAAGTGTTAGAACTAAACAATACACATTTGACTTTCAAACAAGGTTTATATGGCATTTTGTTTTGTTTTGGATTTTAGTTCTTTGAGACGGGGTCTTGCTATGTAGTTAAGGCTGGAACTGAACTCACTATGTAGCCCAGGCTGGTCTCCAACTTGTAGCAATCCTCCTGCCTCAGCCTCTCGTGCGGTGAGGTTATAGTCATGTGCCACCATGCTCAGCTCTATGGCTACAGTGAAATGGAGAAAGAGGTGCGGATGAGCTGTCTCCATGCTCCTACACAGCACCCACACAGAGGACAGAGAAGAAGGAAATCGGGGACCCTCCACCTGGGGACAGGTGACAAGCTTAGTCCTGAGTGTCCCGCTAGGGGAGCCCAAGCCCACCAGCCCCGTCAGGCCTGTGGGGCCCCTGGCAGCCTGAAGCCGGGGCCTGCTCTGTCTCGGAAGTGGCCTGATTCCTTGCAGCCCCATCTGCATCGGGGATGAACAACCCATGGAGGTCCAGGTGCATCTCCACGGCAAGGGAGGCGCGTGCCAGCTCTGTGAAGCTCTTGGCATCCAGGATGAGCAGGAAAGGCAGCTTTTGGGGGTCAGTAGAGACAATGGCTGATAAGATAACTCCTTTGGAGAAACAAACAGAAACACTTCGCTTTTCTCTGTTGCAGCACTGGGGATGGAACCCAGGACCTCGCACATGTCAGGCAAGCGCTCTACCAAGTGCACCCCAGCCCTGAAGAGAGAAACGTCTTGTAAAAGCACAGCCTGAAATGTCCTCTGCTGGAGGGACACCCTTCTCAGCCACTGCGGGTGGCTGAACACCTCATGCACACAGGGGGTGTGTGGCCTTGCATGTTGTCTCCCTCTCTCAGCACCCCCGTTGGTACAGTGAAGACGACAGCACTCCCTGCCCACTGAATGCAGGGGAAGCATGTTCCCGGCCGAGTGGGGGAGCAGCTTCAGCAGGAGTCCCTGCCCCCACCCCCCCGCCCCGTGACAGTGACCAGACCACATGCAGCAGGAAGTCTAGGCCAGGTGGGAAGCCACTGTGAAGCGGAGGGAGGCTGCTGGCAGGCTCTGAGGGCAGCCCGCCCTCCCTCCATCACTGCTCAGCCGGGTGGGGTCCCCGCCCTTGGTGCTGGCACCCCTCCTTAGCATCCCCAGGGCTGTGGGAAGGGCACTGCTGAGGCAAAGGCAGAGTCATGGTGACAAAGGGCAGTTGGCCATGTGGAACCTAGGAAAGCCAGGTGGGCCACAGATACCCGATTTCCTGCTGCCCCTCGGGAGGCACTTAGACATCTGATTCCAGCCACTTCGGGGGAATCTTAAAGCCAAGATTCCACATCCATGGAAAAGTTCCAAATCCAGTGGAAGGGACATGGGCTTCGTGTTGTAAAGAAATTAACCTTGTCCAAAGAGAGGCCTGACTTTGTCCCTGGGGGCTTGCCTCTCAGTCCTGCTGGAGTGTCCTTGTTTACCTGGGGACCCCAGGAAGTGGCGGACGGTCTATCCTCACAATGTGGTCTACGGCGGGGCCACCGGCACATGGCATCCGCCTGACCCGAGCGGCTGAAGACCAAAGGCCGGCCACACAGGGGTCAGCCAAGTCCACAGCGCTGAGCCCCAGGAACAGGCCTGGACACCGAGGCTCTGGGGAGTTTCCATGGCTAGTAACCCTTGGGGCCCAGAGCGCCCCATCCTCGTTGACATTAACACCGTTTACGGCTCCCCCAGAATTGGACAGCAGGTCTCCCCTGGGCCCCGTAGCCTTTCACTGTAATGAAACCTCACCCTGAGGATGGCAGCTTTCTGAGAGTTCTCTGCATCCTCCTGAAGATCACACAACCTGCCGGGGCCCGGGCCGGGGCCATGAACGTGTGCCAGAGTGGTCACCAGACAGATCCAGACTTCCAAGCAGCCCCCCACCCTGTCCCCGCTGTGCGTCCGGGTGGGGTCACGTCCCCAGGGATGCCTCTACTCGAGGGGTCGCACGAAGGCTCTCCCTCTTGGGGTCTTACCATCATCCTCGTCCTTGGCGCCTGGCGCAGGCACAAACAGGGGCTCTGCTGGCCAGCAGCTCTCCTCTCCCCACCTCAGGGATGACTTAGTGAGAGTGTCATACTTGAGTATCTGTGTGTCCAGAGGGGGGCAGGGGATTGCCTGTGTGAGAGCAGGTGAGTTCCCTGGGAACAGCAAGGCACGAAGGCCCAGCAGGTGGGAGGTTTCATCCTCAAATCTAGACTTTGGACACATGAGAACTTTCCCCTCCATCTTCCCACCTCTGGGCCTCTCTCTGGCCATCTGCATCCAGTAGCACACCATGAAATCTCAGCAAAATCCTGAATTTGTCTAGTATTTGGCACTGCATTGCAATTTTATATGTTAAAAAAGGTAATGTGTTAAATAATACAATTTTCCTTGTTGTTTTAAAGGTGGAAATCCAGCTGGGCATGGGGACCAAAGCCTCTAATCCCAGCATTCTGGGAGGCCGAGGCAGGAGGATCAGAAGTTTGTGTCCCACCTGGGTGACTTAGGGAGACTGTGTCTCAAAATAAAAAAAGGACTGGGGATGTAGCTCACTGTGAAGGCCCTGGGTTCAATCCCTAGGACTGCAAAACAAACAAACAAACAGAAAAGTGAAAGTCCTGGGCCTCTCCCAAGTTCCCATAGACCTATCCCATTTAGGGAGCAGGATTAGTGGGGAGTGGCTCAGGGCGCATCTGTGTGTGCCTGAGTGTGGGAACCTTAATTTTTGGCTTTGTACATTTCTGCATTATTTGCATTTTTCAAAATGTTAAATTATTCAAGAATGAAGTTCTTAAGGAAAAGTGATTTCTGTGTAGCATTTTGTATTGGCAGATAGTAGCTTAAAAAACAAAAATCCTTCAGGTTCCAGCTACATGCTCTCTGCTCAAGAGGATGAGCAAGTCCCTTAAGGGTGGGAACTGGGCTCCCATGCTGACCTTTGCATCCTCACTGCCCACCACACTGAAGCACATAGTAGGTGCTCAATAAACACACATAGAATAAGGAATTCAAGACCTAACCTCCACCTGTGACCTCTCCCCCGAGCTCCAGTCCTAAGGTGGTGTTCCCTCTCTTGGATGGCCCATCACTCCCGCAGCCTCATCCCAAGGTGACGTCCCTCCTGACCTCCTCATTTCTGATCAAGGTCACCCAGTCTCAAGACCTGCACACTCAGCTTTACAGACAGGTAAGATCACTGCGGTCACACAGGGACCTTGTACCTGGGTTGGGATTGGACTCCACTGAACTCCAGCAGCGAAGACGTATCGATATGGCTTTCCGTTGTGAGTGTAATTGATCTGAGGGAGCTCCAAGCCTGGAGGAGAGAAATGAGCCGGGTCGAGGTCCCCATGGCTAAGGTCGGAGCATCTCCCTCATGCTGAGCTGGCCTCCTTCCCACAGAGACAGTTCCCAAGCAAGATCCCAACCTTGACTCAGCCCCAGATCTGGCCAAAGGTAGGCAAAGGCTGGAGGGAAGCTCTGATGATGACCCTGGCTCTGTTACGAGGTTCAGGAGCGAGCCAGCAGGGGCCTGGGGTTTTATGTGCATAAGCATCTTTAATTACCCAAGACAGGAATCAAAGAGAGTTGTATGATTAAAATCAGAGGCTACTGTAATTTTTTAAACATCTTTTTTTAAAAAAGTATGTGTGTATGTGGGTGTGAAGAGCAACTTTGGAAACCACAGGAAAGAGCGTCAATGGGGAACAGAAATAAAGCTCATTTGTTCTGTTTTAATAATCTGTAAAAATAATGTTAACAAAAGATTTAATAGCAAGCTCAGGGTGTCTAAGGAGAGTCCCCAGAAGTGCACTCAACAGAGGAGCAGGCGCAGGGCCAGCCCATGGGCTGCCCCAACCCTCTGTAGGAGAGGGCCCATGGGTGAGTTTTTCTTTTTCTTTTGTTTTTGTGGTTGAGGGTTGAATCAAGGCCTTAGCCCTGAGCTACATCCCCAGGCCTATTTTTATTTATTTATTTTGAAACAGTGTTTCCCTGAATTGGTCAATTACCTAGGCAGGAGTGGAATTTTTTTTTTTTTTTTTTTTGGTACCAGGGATCGAACTCAGGACCTTGCGCTTTTGAGGCAGGTGTCAGAACCACTGAGCTAAATCCCTGGCCCCAAGGAGTGGAATTTGGAATCCTGCCTCAGCCTCCTAGAGAGTTGGAATTAGGGGGCTGCACCACCATGTCTGGAGGGGTTTTTTGGGGGGGGATCTGACTATGTTGTCAAGCTGGCCTTCAACTCCTGGCATCTACAGGCCAAAATGTGATGGGGAAGTGTGTTGGCTTTTAGTCGTATAGGGTTCAAACTCAGGGCCTCACGTATGCAGGGCAAGGGCTCTACCCCTGAGCTACACACCCAGCTCCAGCCCAGCAGGTGGATTTAAACCCAGAGCCCGGCTCTGTTGGCTGCCTTGCTCTCTTGTCCGTTTCAGGGTAGGGATGCTTGTGGCACAGAGTTGATGGGAGTCGAGGATCCTGCTAAGGGTGCCACGGTAGTCCCCAAGAACTCGGAGCCCAGAGGTCAGCCCAGGTTGAGAAGCCCCACCCCCGCTCTACCTCTCTCAGGCCCATGTCTTCCTCCAGAAAATGAGTCTTTAACCCTGGGCCCGTGGAGAGACAGAACCAGGAACACGCTGTGCCTGCTCCGTAAGTCCCAGCCCTTTGCAGACTACACCTGTGAAAGTCATCTGGCAGAGGTGTTAGAAGCTATCTGAAAGAAAGGTCCCCAAATGGTTTTCCTGTGTCCTTTGCCTGTGTGGTGGAGGGGTCTATTACATAAAGACACCTCTGGAGTCCATATTAAAATTTTCCTGCCTAGACGCAGGGAGAGAGATGGAGTGTACCTTCCAACAGCAATTCCGGCTGGCAGTACACCTGGTCATCCCTTTCCTTCAGGGCAGTTGCTGTTGTAGATGCCACTTTGATTAGATTTGTGCCCACTTCTGCATTCTGGAAAGAATCAGTGGAGAGGAAAAAAAAAAAAAAAAGGAAAATGTCACTCTGAGGAAACCTTCGCTTTACTTTGTCTATGCAAAAAATGCTTTTAGAGTACACCATCTATGGAGCTACTTAGCATACATCATCTTGCCCGGCCTCACGTTAACTAGGAGAAGCAGATATTTTATGGCTCTTATTCTCAGTTTTTAAAAAAAAACTCGAAGATTGGCAATTTAAAGTGACTCCCACAAAGTCACATAGCTGGTGGGTGGCAGAACCAGGACTCCTGAACCCAGGGCTTTTGCCTTGCTCCGGGCTTCTGCGTTAATCCCAGGAAAAATGAAGATGCTTATAAGGCAAGTTCTCACTTTTAAAATACTGGCTGATTCACCTGTAAAAGGCTGCATCAGTCATTAAAAGGGTGTTTTATAAAGAGTTTACAATAACACAAGAAATGCTTATGATATAACATCAAGTAAGAGGATCAGAATAAATTACATATGCAGTCTGAGCTCAACCACATCCACAAAATTACATCAAAAAGCCAGGGGGGCGGGGAAGCCAGGGGGAGAAATATACCACCTATTAACAATATCACAGAACTAGGAGGGCTTTCGTTTCTTTTTCTGTACTTCCAATATTTTCTCTTGTGAAAAATGTATCACTGCTGATATGCAAACAAACGTGTGATAAAAATTACTGGAGAGAAAAACAACTTTCCAGGACATCCCTTGGTCTCAATGCGACTTTGTTCTGCACAGGTACTCTCTTCGTTATGATCCAGGAGAAGGACTTAGCACGAGCCAGTGTTTATTGAGCAACTACTAGCCTGTGTTTCCCCACATATGAGCCACGGGACTTGAGCGAGTCAGCCTTGCTGTCCTTGAGGTCTTTCATGTGTATGATGAGGATAATAGCAGTATATGCACCTTGGAGTTACTGTGAAGGTTAAATGAGATCATCCTCACAAATTGTTTACAAGAGTCTCTGGCTAACAGGAAGTGCTGGATAATGGTAGCTGCTTTTGTTAATGATGACATCTTTGTTCTTATACATTTGTTGTCTCCCTTTATCCTCAGGGGATACATTCAGCGGATTCCCAAACTGCAGATCATATGGAGCCCTATGTATGCACACTTGATATGGCCACAGTCCATCTGGTAAGCAGAACAGCTCCTGAATGACTAACGGGCAGGTAGTGTATACAGCCTGGATGCACTAGACACATCCCAGTAAGGACAAAGCAGGACAGCTTGAAATTTCATCCTGCTACTCAGAACAGCACGCAATGTAAAACTTATATATTGTCCATGTTGGTGTTTTTCATTTAATATTTTTGGATAACAATTGACTATAGGTAACTGAACTGTGGGAAACAAGACTGTGGGTGAGGGGGTGCTTCTGTATGTTTATTCTTTTTATCATTATGATATAATTCCTATTATTATACTGCTGCCACTCCTGGTGAGGGCACCAGAGGACACCAAGGAACAAGACCATGGATCTTTGTTGTGGCTGACTTCTCATTTAAACTTTTCTCTACATATCAAATTTTCCAAAATGGCTTTTATGATTAAAAGCAGCCTATTTTAATGATGGCAGATTTTTGGCCGAGAAGGAGGGAAAGTTTACTGCTTCCTGGTGATCGAACTGCAAGGGTTCTCAGACAGAAGGATAGTTTAATCCTCCAATTTATAGCAGAAGAAACAGGCCCAGAGAAGAAAAGCAACCAGTCCAAAGTCACCAGATAGAAGCAGAGCCTAGGTCCTGGCCTTTGTGCTGGGATTCTTCTGCCCCTAAGAGCACTGTGGAGAGAGGACAAAGCAAGTGCAAAGGCCCTGAGGCCAACCCATGCTGTGGGTCTCCGCTGAAACATTCCCATCTCTTCTACTCAATCTGAATGTGCAGTATCTCTGAGGCATCTGTCCCAAACTGTAATCATCTCCTTTACAGAGTTTTTCCTTCTGTCATGCTTGTCTTCTCTATGAAGGCAGGGACTGGATTTTGTTCAGTGCATGGCACACAGTCAGTGCCCAGGAAGCAACTGCTGAGCAACAAGTGAATCCATAACTCAGTGGACCTTTTCCTTCGACCACCAAGGGGCAAGCTGCAGGCTTTGCAGGCTGGACTCATTTTGAGAACTAAGTGAGATGAGGTGGGTAAACCAGTGTCTGATAAACAGAAACCCGAATGCAGCACCGTGTGGCTCGCCAGCCAGGCCGGTGACAGTGACAGGCCCCTGGGCGGGTCTCAGCCTTGACTCTCAGGGAGTTGCTCTCAGAACTCCAGCCCGAGAAACTGGTCAGACTGGTTGAGGGACAAAGTGAATTTTTCCACACACGCACAGCAGTAACTGAACATGAGTCGGCTGCTTTGGGAAGAAATTGCTTCCCAGTCATGATTCAACGAAGAGAATCCCGAAGGCTTGCTCTGAGACCCCTACCTTTGCGGGATCTCTCAGGGGAGCACAGCCTCGAGACTCCCCCCACGCCCACATTCGGGCTTCAGTGTGAAATCTGACTTAACTTCCTGTGTGACCTTGACCAGACCCTTGATGGCACCGAGCCTGCTTCCCCACCTGGGAAATGGGGGTGTAGAGGACAGCAAGGTTGCTTTGACCTGATCTGAGGGTTAGGGTTAGGATTAAGTCAAATTACAGTTGTGAAAAAGCCCTGGTTCAGGGCCCGACACACTGTAGTTAGGAACTTGGAGACAGTCAGCACGCATTCGAACCCCAAGTTCCTTTCTCTCTCATCTACAGGTATGGGGGTAGAAATAACTCAGGAGTTTGTGACGTGAAGCAGAAAAGCACTTAACAACTCCTAAAAAGTACAGGACCCGGCAGGATAGAGGCCAACAAATAGAGGCCACTGACCCTATGTACAGGTGAAGTGGTGGCCTCCTGTCTGCTGCCTGGACCCACTGACCTTCCTAATGCTGTGGCACCGCTGGCCATGTGTGACTGTTAAAATTCAATTAACTAATTTACTTTTTTAATGCTACTGGATACTGAACCCAGGGCCTTCATGCTGAGCTCCATCCGCAGCCCTTTTCATTTTTAAGTTTTGAGTCAGGGTCTTACTAAGTTGCCTAGGCAGGGCTCCTACCTGCAATTCCCCTGCCTCGGCTGGGACTATGGGCCTGCACTCACCATGCTATGTTTACATTTAATTGATTTAAGTAAAATTAAAATGTCAGCTCCTCGGCTGCTCTGGCCACATCTCAAGGGTGAGCAGGAAGAACGTTGTAGACCGCAGCAGATTGGTCTGGATGGAGGGAGGAGGGTGAGCTGGAGTTCTAGGACCCCGGGAGCTCAGAGCTGGAGGTGGTGACACTGTGAGAGCCGCTGTGCCCTACTCCCTCCTTTCTAATCCCAGGCCACGTCCCTAAATGAGGGACACCCAGCTAGCACACCAGGCCCACTGCCCCCTCAGGCTACCTCGTGGGCACCCCAAGGGCACAGTCTGCTCTTTGGGGACAGAGGCAGGCATCAGGGTGTAAAGGGGGTGGGCACAACCCTTGGCCTTCAAACAGCTCACTCATGGAGGAGACAGATTGGGCCTTTCACACGGGCCTGCACACAGCACACTGCATAGACGGCGGCTCCTCTTATTCTATCGGGCCTTCAGTTCTGCATTTGCAGGTGACAAAACCCAAATCTCTCAAGCCAGGGGTGGAAGCCACTGCTTCTAGGTCTGCAGTGCCCCCTTCCCTGCCCTTGTCAGTTGGCAGGGCTGACAGAGCACAGAACAGGCCTCCGAGGAGCCCTGCTGTCCCCATCCACCCAGAAGCTTCCCTGTGCTCCCCCTCCCTGCTGAGCCCTGCCCTACACACTGCTGCCCTACATACCCAGGCCGGGGTGCCAGAGGCCCTGGCCCCATCCAGGCTGGTCAGGGGGTCCTGGCCTCTGCGTGAATCCTGTCAAGTGTTTGACTTGGAAAACGCTGCTCACATGTGCCAGGCACCAAGGCTAAGGAAGACCCTGCGTGCTCTTGGACCTTGCCTCACAGTTCATCTGTTCACCCATCCTTCACTCATCCATTCATTCATTCATCCATTCATTTCCAATACCTAAGAGCTTCATGAGTACCCTCCGAGCACCTGCTCCCTGCTTCCCGTCCTCTTGGAGCCTGTGCGTTGGCAGGAGGGGCCTGAGTACATTTGCCCATATGGAATTTGTGCCCAAGTGTCCAAGCTGCAGGGAGTGAGGATGCTGGACCTCACACTCGGGAGGCCCTGGCCATGCATTAGAACCGCCTAGGGGCTGAGCCCTCCCTTTTTTGCTGTTGTTTTTCTGAAATAGGGTCTTGCTATGTAGTTCAGGCTGGCCTCGAACTTGAGCCAATCCTTCTGCCTTAGCTTCCCGAGAGCTGGGATTACCAGTGTGCACCACCACACCTAGCTCCCCTTAGTAGCTCTGCTGCCCTTGGACTGGGAAGGGGCTGGTGGTTGGGCCAAGCTTGCAGGTGATTCCAATGTGCAGCAGGAGGGGTGATGCGACAGGTCAGCTTGGCAGGCAGAGGGGACAGCTGTGCATAAAGATCCCAGACCAGAAGGACCTCTGGGAAAGGACTGCAGCTTTCCAGGTCATCGTGGAGCCCACTGAGCCGGGCCACCACAGGTGGGCCTGTATGCGGTGGCCTCCTGCTTGACTTTCACATTTCCCTATGCAGGCTGCCGAGGGACTTGAAAGTAAAGAAGACATTTTAAAGGGACAATAAATAGCAATTAAACAGCGTGGCCAGAGCTACCCATCCCAGGGCTTGCTCTTCTTTGCTAATTTCAAAGCAGCAGATGGTTGCACAAAGGCTTTTAACAATATCCATGCTCACCTTCTAAGCCTGGTGCTGAGTAAGTGAACCACTTCCCAGGAGTGATAAAAGGGCATAAAATCTCCGGTGTGGGGAGCAGAGGGGAAGGCTCTCCTCTCCCTGGGATGAGGTCGCCCTGGGATCCACCCATGTTCTGTGACACCTTTGTCCTTCCTGGACCAAGAGACAGTGCCCAGCGGTGCTCTTTGGGGTTTCCAAAGAGGGGGCATAGGGCAAGGGCTGTGGGGTGATTGGATGGGTGTGGTCTTTCACTGGATAACCCTGATCACGTGACTGGGTGAAGTACAGTCTTAGTGAGGTGCCACAGGGTGTTAAATGCCAAACACTTTGAAGAGCTTTCTGTCTTTTGTAAATGGGGCCTTAGGAGTGGACGCCAGGGCCTCACCCATGCTAGTGAGTATTCTACCACTGAGCTGCCTGCCATCCCGTAAAACTCTCTTCCTAAGAGACCAGGCCTTGGTAAGCCAGACTTGGGTGACTCTAGTTGTCTTGAGTATACATTGGTTTTCTCTTTGCAGTAAGCATTGCTCACTTTCTGTGCTTACTGGTGTGTTTCCTGTCACACGAGTCAAGAGCAAGTTGATTAAAACACACCAAAATGGAGGCGATATTAGACATGGTAAAAACCACAGCCGAGATCCACACTCAGGGAAACGCTGGAGAGACAGGAGAGGGCCTCACTCTGGAACAGACAAATCTGGGTTCAGATCCTGGCTCCCCGCTCACCAGGCAGGAAAACAGCTCAACTCCTGCACTGCCAGTTGGACAGTGAGGGTGGGAAAGCTCCCGGGGTACCAGAGCTCAGTCCCTAGGCTGCAGAGCCCTGGAAGGACTCAGAGGGACGAGCAGAATTCCTACCCCTAGATTCGCGTGTGTTTGGAGACAGATGTGCGGGTCCAGTCCTGGCTGGGCTGCCTGGCCCCGAGTGCCTTCCTTCACTTCCAGGAGTCTCTGTTTTGCATCTGGGAAGAGGCTAACGTGGTGACCTCTTCCCCACAGGTTGTTTTGATCAAGTGACATCAGGAAGATAAAACGCTTTGGAGAAGCACCTGGCACACTGTGCAGTTAGTAAATGTGCGCCATCAAAATGTAATTGAATTGAATTTGCTTTCATTTAAGTTAATTAAGCCATGAAGTCAGTGCATTCTGGAGCCAGAAGCCTCTCTCTTGCCTCCTTGTGCCCAGAGCCACGACAGCGTCACCTAATGAAGGGCGACTCCCCCCGGTGGTCAGGGTTAGCAGAGGCGCAGAGCTGCTCCACATCAGGGAGCCGGGTGAGCAGATGGTGATGAATCCCTGCCAGAGACTCTTAGGCGTGGGTTTAAAACGATGCCATCAGAGAGTATTTAATGCCATGGGGAGATGCTTTGATACATAAACTGGTGGAAAAAGCAGTAAGCAAAACTTAGAAAAAGTGCTGAGCTCAAGAAGCTGGTCGAAGAGGGGTCCCACTGACACCGAAGAGCAAATCCTCGGGATGGACAGGGACGGGTGGGGGCCTGGGGCCAGGGGAGGGGCTCCTAGGAGGGGCGGCTAAAGGGTCTGGGGCTTCTTCTTGGGGTGATGAAAATGGTCTGAAATTGATCGAGTTAGTGGATGCATGACTCTGTGACTATCAAAAGCCCCTGAATCAGACTGTGACTGGGAGAATTGTGGGCTATGTAAATTGTATCGCAGTAAAGCCGCTAGAAGTACACATGATTAAAATTCAGAGAGCCTGACCGACAGAGGAGGGCAATGCAAACATCTCCACAGTGATTGTTGTGGGTTTATGGAGGTTTTTTTCCTTTTTATTTACCTATACTTAAAAAAAATTTTTTTTTTGAGACAGAATCTCTCTATGAAGTTCTCACTATGTAGCCCAGGCTGGCCTTGAACTCACTATGTAGCCTGGGCTGCAGTGTTTCTCCTGCCTCAGCCTCCTGAGTGCTGGTGCTGGGATTACATGCATCACCACGGCCGCTCAGCTTACCTGTACTTTCTAAAGTTTCTGCACGAAAATAGACCATTTTGGAAAAACACGGAAAGACATTTTTCTGGTCTTTCTTTAAGACCAGTTCCTTTTAGATTTCAGTGTCAACCGAGTAAGCATCAAAGCTGCTTCCTGCCGGGCTCGGGTCCCGCTAGGAAGAGCCGGCCACTCTGAGCCCCTTACCCCATCCACGTGGAGCGGCACAGCGAACCTCCTGAGGGTGGGCACCGACGTGAGCCTGGAGTTCTCCTCGAAGTCCTGGTTTAGGTTGGCCAGGTAGAAGAGGTCATAGAGGCTGCTGTCCTTGTAGGTGATGACGTCAAACACAATGCAGCCGCCTTCCTCATAGGCGTTGACGTGATGAAACACCACCATGGCATCTGTGTAGAACCTGGTGGGCACCGGCTTTCTGGTCCTCTGGTCGATGATGTGGATGTGAGTCTGAAAGAAGAGGCCCACTGGGCGGTCAGCTCTCCTCTGTCCCATGCGGTGGCATCTGGAGACTCTAGCTTGTGACCATGTCCCCTCAAAAGGGCAGGGCAGACAAAGTGCTTGGTTTGTTGTGATCTTATTTTTAAATTGCACGGAGAGAAGGAGAGAACCTGGCGTGGTGGTGCACACCTATAATCCCAACACTCTGGAGGCTGAGGCAGGAGGATCCCTGTGAGTCTGAGGCCAGCCTGAACTACATAGTGAGACCCTGTCTCAAACATTTTTTTAAAGCACACAAACAAAACAAAAAAAGATGCATGGAGAGAAGTTTTGCTGCCAGGGCCTTGAGGGACCCATGAAGGCATCCTTCCCCTTGTCCCACTGACTGTAATATAGGTATGCAGTGACATGCAAACTTCCGGCGATGGCCAAGGAAGGCAGAGCCTGCCAAGGACCAGGCTCCACCGGAGACTGGAGCCCCTAAACCCCTGCCCTCTGGTTCCCCTTCCCATCCCCACTGTAGGGTCAAACTGGTCTCTGCTCTTGTCACAGGACCCCACTTGTCCTGGCGGGTGGCTGTGGGGTGACCTCAGCTCTGGCCAGGTGGCAGGTCACTCCAGGGGTGTCCCTCTGGGTGTTACCAGCTGGTATCACTCTGGGTGGTAGTGAGCCATGTCTGCACAATCCTAAGGGGTGGGCAGGTCACACCCAGCCACCTCCTCGAGGGAGGGAGAGAGTCTCACTCCTCTGGTCCAGTGGCTTCTGCGTCCCTGGAACCCAGCTTCGGTGTTAGGCGCCCTACGAGGAGGGCCTCGACAGCACAGGTTCAGCATAAGGCGGGAGGAGGGGATGATTTTCTTCCCCTGTCCCTGGGCCAGCCACGGGGCCTTGGGACAAAGTCCTCTTCCAGATGCGCTCTGGAGCTTTCCCAGGGCTGTCACGATGCCACTTCCAGTCTCACTGGTATCCCGAGGGGTTTCTCTGAGGGTGGGGAACTCTCTAGGGGGACAGATGAGAGGCCCGGGGCCTCCCACGCTCCTGCCAGGGGCAGCCCCCGAGTTTGTCCAGGGAGATGATGTAGGACACAGGCAGTGCCAGCTGGCTTCTCATCCTGCTCTGCCTCACTACACATATTCATGGAGGTCCTGCTGTGCGTTGGGGTGAGGGAGACAGTAACGCCAAGCCCTGCTTTCCCTGAGCGTATGTACTTGTGGGGGTGAAGCCCACAAAAAATATCGACAATATGTTGGGGTTCTGGACACTCCTGAGAAAAGAGAAGCAGGGTGTGGTATGGGTGGGGGTCCTGTTTTAGACGGGACTTGGAGGAAGGCCAGGGAGACGCAGATCAAAGGAGAAAGGAAGCCAACCCATTCCAGAGGGCAGAAAATGCCAAGGCCCTGAGGCAGGGACATGTCGGGCTGGTTCAACCCAGGAGGGTGTGAGGAATAAGCAGGATAAGAGTGGTCAGGATGAGGCCATGTGGGATTTAGCGGTGGTGAACGAGGCCTTCGGATCTTGCTCCAAGGAAGATGGGAAGGTTCTGAGCAGGGAGGGTCCTCAGGTAACGCTTTCGCTCCCTGAGAAGGGACAAGAAAGGCCTTAATGAGGCTGGCCAGTGTGTGCGAGTGCTCAGAAAGGGCTTGGACAGATACCTTGTGGGACAGGGAAGAGGCCAGATGACTTTGTATGTGGCTTTCTGCACTTGGGTAGTATTTGAGTAGGCACCACTGAGAATTACTTGCTGTTTCCAAAGATAAGGTAACAGCAGCACATAAGCAGTGAGTACATGTGATACTATCAAAACGTATGGCAAATGTTTACATTTTCAAAATGTGTCACAGTAAGACAAACTGCCATCCATCCCCCTCCAAACACTTCACTTTGCTCCTCCCTTTGGGTACACTTATCTTGTGACTGGTGTCACTTTCCGAAGAAGTTCTGGAAGTCCTCTTTTGTGAGTGTCTTTATAAGGTGTGACCAGGAATATGGTGAATGCTGTTGCTGAGTGCCATCCAGCGGAAAGCCAGGCTCTTGGAAACACGACGGGGTGTCCTCAGCCACCTTACTCACTGGATCTGGTGCTGTGTGACTTCCGGATCTTCCCCACAGTCAAAAGGACCACGCAAGGTAAATGTTTTGAATGGGTTCAGACATCGAGGCAGCCAGGAGACCACAACTAAAGACACTCATGAAAGAGGACTTGCAGAACTGCTTCAGAAAGAGGCAAGAAAGATGGGGTAAGTGTGTTTGGATCAAGGGGGTGTATTTTGAAGGGGTTAAGGACAATATAATGACATTTAAAAATTTTGTAATAAAATTAAAAAAAATTTAAAGCATTCACAATAATTTTCAATTGGACTTTATATACCTGTACGCATAATATAGCCATCCATCCATCCATACACATACATACACACTCATACATACACATGCATACTTTGCACACTTGGGTGTACCTGAACCAAAATAGCTGTTTCTACTGAACCATCCTGTGGAACTCTATCATTAGGAGTCTCAGCCACCCCCAGCACCCATTGACCCCCACATAACACTGTGGTAGCAGAGATGCCGGAGGGGCTGTTCCCTTTGCTGCTGGGCCTACGAGGACTGTTTGGGGAACTTGGTTGCCCAAGGTCACGCTCTGTTTCAGTACTGTCTTATCCAATGACTTACTGAAGTGGAGGTCTGAAGGCCTGGGCCCCTTGTCTTAACTTGGGAGCTCTCTAACGGGCCAGTAAAGCTTCGGAACTCTCTGGAAGGTTGGTGGGTATCTCCAAAGAGACTGTGGTACCTCACACTCTGTCCTCCCATGCAGCTTCCTTCCCTAAGCAATCTCCCTCTCTAGCTGTTCCTGTGGCAGGGTTGGCATCCCAGGCAGCCTTACCTTGTCCTCCCTGTGGAAAGCCATGCAGGATGCCCAGCTCACTCCTCGCATGTACGCGGTCGCCATCTTGAGAATGTCCAACCTGAAGGGCTGCTCCAGAAACACCACATAGTTCTGGGTGACCCCAAAGCTGTGGTAGTAGCTGGGGGAGAGGAGCGAGCGGGAGGGGATGGAGCAGAACACCTCTGTGTGTTTCAGGGGGCTCTTCCCCTTCCTGTTGGCCTCTGGAGGAAAGAGAGACTCAGAATCACACAGGGACTGGGGGCTCCAAGGCCACTGTCATCACCTACAGACTCACCGTGGGGCTAAGAAGAACCTTCGAGCAGGAGCTGGGAGTAGGGAGATACAGGGCCCCAGCGCTTCCTGATCAGGTCACCCCATGCTTAGCCAAGTTCTCCAGTGTGAAAACCACTGCTGCGGGCTGCGGGTCTCCATAGTAGCCTGGAGGGAAGTGAGGCCTCCACCTGCTACTGTTGATAAAGTCTTATCTGGAACAAGGCCTCTGCTCACTCTCTTGTGCATCCTCGATGGCTGCTTTTGCTGGGGTCTGCAGCAGCCCAGGTGAGGTTTGGTGATAGGGATGTGACCCTCAAAGCCTCTTACCATCTGGCCCTTTTACAGAAAACGTGTGCCAACCCCTGCTCTAGGTCAGTGCTTCTCAGACTTTACTGTATGGATGGGATTGTGATGAAATGTGGACTGGAGCTCAGTGTGCTGGGGTGGAGGCCGAGAGTCTGAGTTTCTGCGGAGCTCCACAGGGATGGGTGGGTTTCCCAAGCTTACGCCCTGGTGTTTTTCTGGGAACCACCATTCAGCATGCAGTTCGTAGGTTTTCTATGAATGTGTCTTGGCACTGCCTGTTACAAAATGTCCAGGAGGGACTAACTACCTACTGTGACAGGGGCTGTCACATATGTGGTACAATTGAAAAATATAATGAATGTTAATTCTTTTTATTTTTGGTACTGGGGATTGAACTCGGTACCCCCCCAAAAAAAAATTCATTACAGTAAAAGACACATTGGGCCAGGATTTAGCTCAGTGGCAATGTGCCTGTCTCACAAGCACAAGGTCCTGAGTTTGATCCCCGGTACCAGAAAAATAAAAAATAAAAAAGACTCTGTTTCAAGTAAAAGACACATTGCCATTAAACTCCCTCAAAATACTCCACCCCCCCCCACACACACACTTCAAGCACACTTATCCCATCATATTTCCAATTTTCTGAAGCCGCTCTGGAAGTCCTCTTTCACGAGTGTCTTTAGTAGCCCTGTCATGGCTGCCTTGATGTCCTGAATGTTTTCAAAACATTTACCTTTCATGGTCCTTTTGACTTTTGGGGAAGAGCCAGAGGTCAAACAATGCCAGATCCAGTGAATAAGGTGGATGAGGACGCCCCGTCATGTTTTCATGAGCCTGCCTTTCCTTCGGATGGCACTGTGCAGCAGCAGACACTGCATTTTTAGTCACACTTTGTAAAGATGCTCATGAAGGAAGACTTCCAGAACTGCTTCAGAGAGTGGCAGAGTGATGGGATGAGTGTATTCCACTTGAGAGGGGGGACTTTAAGGGGGATTCATGGCAAAGTACCTTTTATTATAATAATTTTTTAAATTTAAACTTTCACCCCGTATTTTGAGTGCCCCTTGTATTTTGTGGCCATCAAGCCAGGCTGTAGGATCCCCCTTTTACAGATGGAACTGAGACTTGGTGGAAGATCTCTCACCGCGGTCAAAGTCCAGGGTTAAGCCTAGAAGACACAGCCCCTTAGTCCTGGGTTCCTGGTCTGTTATTAAGAGACACAGCCCTCAGAGAGTGCAGATGAGGGAAAGGATGAAGCACCACACTAGTGGGGTGTAAAGGCCTGGCTCCCTTCCCTAACAGCTAGCTGTCTTAGCATCTCAGCTGGTGCCTGGCACCAGCAACAATCCCTACATGGGTGGCTTTCCCATTTCTCTGCAAGGATGAGTCACATACAGCCAAAGGCCACCCCACCCAGGCCTGGGGCAGATTCTTAATGAGCTCCCTGCAAACGTCCTGCCTATGTGCCAGCTGTGCACAGTGTACGAAGCTGGCGGGTGGGAGGCATGCTGTGTGCTGTGGGCTAGTTCTTTCTTCACAAAACAAGTGGCGCACGATGCAAAGGGAGATGATAGCACCCTAGCCTGGGAGGCATGAGATGGGGAATGAAGCCCAGGAGCCCCAGCTCTGAGCAGGACTCAGAGGGTGGCTGCTTGTGTGACATCAGAGGACACTGGAAGCCGTGTGACTGCAGGCATGTCACCTGATCCCCGAGCCTCAGGCCTCCTCTGTAATATGAGGTGGCAAACACAAATGCCTATAAGATCCCCAATTGGACATCCTAGGATTCTGGGCTTGACCCTGTATGCTTGATTGGCCTACTTAATGGGAGTTTCATTTTAACAAGAGCACTCACGTTCCTTCTGACCTAGGGGACTGTGGCTCCCAGCACAGCCTGGCAATCTGCTCAGAAGTTTCCACAGGACTGTAGGGTGGAGGGACCAGCAGGATCACAGATGGAAACTGGTTTTCCTAAACCAGAAGGTCAGGTCAAGCACCTCTGCATCCTGCGCAGCTGCCCTCAGAGGCCGGGTCTCCTGGGTGTGGTTCCCAGGAGGGTCCTGAACAAACGTGGGCTGGGAACCTCACCCTCACCCCCCTCAGAAACATGCAATCGCTCGGCCTGGGCTTTGCTCCAGGATCCAGCCCTATGTGGAGAAGATCCAGAAGGCCCGGAAAACAGGGTGGGGATCTAGAGCAGAGCCCAGCAGGGCTGCACCCCCTGAACAACCCCAGAAGCCTGGCTGCAGGGCTTGGGCAAAGTGGGTGGCAGAGTGCTGGCATGCACAGGTTTTCAGAAGACTCAAAAAATGGATGGACAATGAGTAAATTAATGAAATAATGAACTGGAGCCTAGAAAAAAGGTTAGGGATGGATAAGTGGATGAATAGGTATATGGATGGGTGGTGAAAGGATGGATGGATGAATGGATGGTAGGTGGATGGATGGGCGGGTAAATAATGAATTACTGACATGGCGCCTAAGGAAAAAGAGGTTAAAATAATGAAGAGATTCTCTTCATTCAAAAAGAATCCCAGAAACTTCTCTTTTCTCCTAAAGAAAAAACTGAGTTTATGGCCATCTGAATGAATGACTGATGGAGAAAAGTATCGTGCTAAATGCTGTGTCATCAGCAAAACTCAGAGCTCTTCAGCAGGAGGCACCTTGGCTGTCTGCTTCCTTGGACTCTCAAGGATGCCTTACCTGGCACTGTGGCAGGGATCTTAAATATCACGTATTTTGTCCTCCCCTTGTCCACAATGGATGTGCCCATATTGAGAACATTTCCAGCCTCATCATAATGAGGATGTGCTGTTGCCAGATTTATAGCCACATATTTCCGATAATCCACCTGCAAAATACAGCAGCCACCTGGTTTTATAAAGGGGAGAGACAAAGTCCCACGAAGACCCGACTGATTCTGGAAGAGAGATGTTGGATACTTTTCCACACCTCCTGACTGGAAAGTAAGAGTTTGGATTTAAAGAGGATGTTCACTCTCACCTGCTTGGGCCTTGAGTCTGGAGGGGCTTCTGGGGCAAACAGGTCTCATGGGAGGGAGGGAGCAGCTGTTTTTGGTGGCTATGACTCTCATTCTGCAGCCTGATCCTGCTGGGGTCCTCACCACCAAAGGCTCCCCGCAGTGACCCAGGGGAGAGAGCTTACAGCCTTCCAGCTAACCCTGGCCACAGCTTGGTTCAGTCATTTAAAGTCCTCCCTTGGGCATTCCGCAGAAGCATAGTTCTCTAGGCCTGTCCTGGAGTATTGCTCTGGGAATAGAGGTCACCAAACCATTTAGTCAGAGCGAATCTCCACTAACAAGCTGAGTAATGGGGCAACCAGAGGCCAGCTGTCCACTCTTTGGCCACCGCCAGGAGAGCACAAGGAGTCAGGTCTGGCTTAGCAGCCTCCAGGACTGCTTCTTCTGTGGAAAGCACACACTGGTTGGACCCACGCCGTCTGGCTGAGAGGGAGCTGGACACAATTTCTCCTCTAAGAAAAGCACATCTTTAACAGATTGTTAAGATGCCTTGGAAGACTCTGGGGATCCGAGCAGCCAGTTGGAGGAAACCAAAGCCAGATCTATCGATTTGCACAGAAGTGTTGACCTGATTCTGCCTGGGAAAAGCACCTGCTAGGACATTTAATTTTGTCCTTGCTCTCTGCCTAAGGCCTCCCCCTGCAGACAGATACAAGAAGGGCTGCTAGGATCCAACCCTACTGAGCTCCCTTGGCACCAAGCACTGTGGACACAGTTATGAGTTGAACTGTACCTTCCAGAAAAGACATATTGAAGTTCTAACCCCAGGTAGACATAAGTAGAGATGAGGTTATACCCTGCTAGGGTGGCCCCAATCCAATGACTTGTAGGTTTATGAAAGGTGGGAAGTTTAAACACAAGGACCCACTAGGAGAACACCATGCGCTGACGGAGGCAGAGGTTGGAGCAGTGTGTCACCAGTTTGGGAACACCAAGGGTTGTGGTCACCACTAGGAGCTGAAAGACACAGGAAGGAGCCTCCCCTGGAGCCTCCAAAGAAATCCTGGCCCTGCAAACACCTTCATTTTAGACCCTGGCCTCTAAAGCTGTGAGAGAGTAAATTTTTTTTTTCCAGCACCAGGAGTTGAACCTAGGGTCTTTGCACTGCCCTATATCCCAGCTCTTTTTAAATTTTTTATGTTGAGACAGAGTCTTGCTAAGTTGCCCAGCCTGGGCTCAAACTTGGGATCCTCCTGCCTCAGCCTCCCAGAGTGCTGAGGTTGCAGGTGAGCACCACCACACTTGGCTAGAGAGAACACATGTGCTAAGCCATCTAGTGAGTGGCACAGCCATGCATCTCTTAGCGGTGGGGACACTTTCTGAGCGAGGCCTCACTGGGAGATGTCACTGTGTGTGAGCATCCTAGAATGCACTGGCACAAACAGATGGCTCCAGTGTCCCTAGGCAGTGTCTTAGGGACCACGGAGATGGATTTGGGTGTTGAGCCAATGTGGTCATAGGGTACATGATTGCACTTGGTGTCAACAATGGGAAGCCAGGACAGCCATGAGGATGGAAACAATGCAGTCCTGTCCATGTGGAGCTTAGAGTTTAGGACCCCGTACTGTTGGGGCAGCCCAGGATGTTGATACCAGGGACAGCCCCTCCTGGGAGCCCCTTAGCATCAGGATACCTTCTCCAGGGTCTCCAGTGTCTGAGGGTTGATCCTCCTCATGTAATTGGTCTCCGTGGTCGCATAGAAGTCTTCCCCACACCTCATGATGTTGATCAGGCAGTTGTCTGTGAAATCAGGGATGGTGTGGGACAGGTAGGAGAAAGCTCTGGGGAGGAAAACAAACCAACAGCGTCAATGGCCTGACTGCCTAGCCAGAAAGTGCTGCCTGAGACGGCTTTAGTTTTCCTGTCGCTTAAAACACCTGATTCCACCATGGGAGAAAGAGTCCTGTGTCTCAATGGGTTGCTTGAAGGATCCCAAGGACTCAGATAGCAGGTTCCCCAAAGATGCCACCTTGTGGTGTCAGCCAAGAAGTGAATCATGGGGACATCATGGTTGCCAGCTGGCACCGCCACCTCAGGTACAAAAATCACACATGTCCGCATAATGTGTGCCCCCCTCCAAGTCTAGCAAAACAGCCAATCCCTGCTTTGGCAAGAATGTGAGTCTACACTGTTATGTCAAATTTGTCTAGGAAATTAGCTTTAAAAAAAGCCAAGTGTGGTGGCACACGCCTGTAATCCCAGCACTCTGGGAGGCTGAGGCAGGAGGGCCACAAGTTCAAGCCCAGCCTGGGAAACTTAGCAACTCAGCAAGACCCTGTCTCAAAATCAAAAATTAAAAAAAAATGGGCTGAGGATGTAGCTCAGTGCAGAGGCCCTAGGTTCAACCCCCAGCACTAAAAACAACAAGAAACCAAGCTAACGTTAAGAAATTTCATTATTTATTTGATCAGAAGCCAGAAGAAAAACTCAAAGCAGGAAGAAAAACCCAATGGGTTTATTGGAGCAATTGGCAAATACTACTGGATCAGGTACAGAGTAGTGCTCCCCCTATTGACAGAGTGTGTAACTGCAAGAATGCGCCACAGTTTACGGTTTAAAATTCACGCCCTCCCTTTCCCTCTCTTTGGCTCCGCCCCACCTGTCAGATGAGGGCAGGGCTTGCTTGGTGTCTGGGAGAGATGATGTCAGATCTGCTTTCACAGCCTCTCTATGTCTGAAGAACCCCAGAAAGGAGAGGCTGACCGCAGGGCTGCCCCCCTACCCAAGCACTGGACTGTGGAGCGTGTAACACACACGTGTGCATTGTAAGCCGGATGACTGCAAATGCACTCGGTGAGAAGGCTCCCAGCCTTGCCGTCCTCTTGCAAATTTCCCATCGCCCTTGCCTTAAGCATCCTTCCCGATTTCTTCACACTCACACAAGCAAAAGTAAATACAGACTTTCTCTCGCTTTCTAACATAAAACATAGCACATTATATGCTCTTTCTAAACCTTGCTATCTTTTTCTTCCTCACTTAACAATATATCTCAGAAGTCTTTCCAGACAGCAGGGAGAGCATCTTTATTCCTTGTTACATCAGCGTGGCCTTTTCATGTATAGTGTTATGGCTATTTGAGATCTCTATTGTTGAGCATTTGGGTTGTTTTCAGTTTCTTGTGCTAGCTAAGGATGCAGCCGTGAAAAGCCTGTACATTTTCATTCCATGCACGATCGAGTATATCTCTAGACTGAAGGGAATGTGCATTTGTAATCTTGACAGATAATTATTCCAAACTACTCTTCCACCCACTGCATGGCAGAGTATCTAATAATTTGTAGAATGCTCTTTGCCCCTCTCACTATCCGTGATCAAGAATTACTCAGAGTCTGGTCAAAGGCCAGCCACATGGAGTTTTTACCCATCCTAAAGAGAACTGTCAAAGGCACAAAGGCTGGTCGTTTTGACCATCAAGGATATAAAATATAAAGCATGAGATGCAGTCAGATTCAGAATGGGTAGTTACTTGGAGAAGATGTTTTTGCAGGGGTCTGGATAGGCCATTGTCCCAAACTCTGACACCACAATCCTGTTTGCCTCGACATTGGCGTTGTAAGTGTCGCTTTTCAGGTATTTGCTCCTGTAATAGACCTCACCTGAAAGAGAACAGCAGGTTAGTCTCAGGCTGGTCCCTTTACAGAGCTTTAAAACTGATGTCTGCCATTCTGGGGGCCTTTCCTGAGGGAGGATAGTTCCCCGGGATAGGCTCTTTAATGCAAGTGCCTGATACAACCAGCATTTGGTGTATGCTTTCACACACCCACGTCTTCTCACGTGAGACTCACCAATAGAGTAAGGAAAGTATGCTTGCCTTAGCTCCATTTCTACACGAGGGAACACTCAGTTGCCTTGTCCAGCATTGTCCAGACATTGGTCATCCCTCTCTTCATGTTGGTATGCCTTGCCCATGTTGGCATCCCTCCTGCCATCTTTGTTCATATCCCTCTCTCCATGTTAGTAACCCTCCAGGGAAGGCACAGGCTTGGAGGATGGGTCCACATGGCTGTATTTTCCCCACAGCCCCGTTCAGTGTGAGGAGTCCTGCCCTCAGAACGCTGTGTCAACAATGTCAGCCTCCTAGAGTAACTTTGCTATCTAGTAGTACAGCTAGGGGACCACCCAAGCCCAGTCCTGTGTACCAGTAGAGGGTCAGAACTGTTTAATGTCTAATTCATCTAGCTGCTGTTTAATGTCTAATTCATCATCAATCATTGGATAAAGCAGAGATTCTTGGCCAGGCCATGGAGACCAGGCTCAGAGTACACCAGATGGTTCTAGACCAGTGGTGGTGAACCTTTTAGAGCTGTAAATGATACAAACAGTCTGCTGCAGCACACGTGCCATAGGTTCCCCATCACTGTTCTAGACTGTATGAGTTTCCTCTGGCTGCTGAAACAAGTGGTCACAAACTGCACAGCTTAAAACCACACACATTTGTGTCTCTGTGCTTTTGGAAGATGCAGTGAAGTGGTTCCCACAGGGCTAATTCCTTCTGGAGACTCCTGGGGAATCCATTCCTTGCTTTCTCGAGCTCCGGGGGCTCCTGCATTCCTTGGCTTGTGGCTCTATCACTCTGGGATCTGTGTCATCCTCATCTCTCCTCTGTCTGAGACCCACCTTGCTCTTCTGAGGACCCTGTGATCCCTGTAGGCCCACTAGGTGCCCCAGGGATCTCCCTGTCTCCAGATCACACCCAGTCTTCTCTGCCACGTAGTGATACACACCGTGTTCATGGGTCCCTTCTGGGGACAGAAGGGGGGACAGACATGGTCCTCAGCCACAAGCTGCACGAAGCATGCTCCAGGGGCAGCCTGTCTCCTCTGGCCTCACTCACTGGAGGCCACCACACACAAGGCACTGGCTTTGGTGCTCCGGGCCCTGCTTAGGTGGGCACTTGGCCTGCAAGGCTGAATTCTTTTCACTTGAAATGTAAACTCAGGCCGAGCTTTCCTAGAAACATCCAGCACGGAGCACAGAGCCCCTGGGGCCACAGGGAACTGTGTCTCTGGACTGGCTCCAGGCTGACACTGGACTGTGAGCTGGAGGTTAAAGAAGAAGCCACCCCATTCGTTCACTTCCTCCCAGCACCAATTAGCCACATTCCTTCCGAAGGACACAGGAAACAGACTGCTCCTGCCTGGCGTCTGCAACAGGGTCAAGTGTGACATCTTGCCGGGCAGAGGGGATACACACACACATGTGCGTGCACACACACACACACACACACACATGCGTGCACAAACATGCACACATGCTTCCTAGCCTGCGATTCCTGATGGAGCAACTTTCCCTCTTAGTAGAAAATGAATATCACTGTGAAGGCTGACCTGGAATCGCTCATCTCTACACTGCTTTAAAACACACTTTACTGGGCCAGGGATTTAGCTCAGTGGTTCCACTGCCTGCCTCACAAGTGCAAGGTCCTGAGTTCGATCCCCAGTACAAAAAAAAAAAGAAATTTTAGACTTAGAAGAACACCCTATGTCACACAGCTTTCCTCCTCCACTCTGCCTCCTTTGTCCAATCTTTCCTTATTATTATTATTGTTGTTGTTGTTGAGAGGGTCGCACTATGTCGTCCAGGCTGGCCTTGAACTCACCATGTAGTCCAGCCTGAGCAATTTACTGATTCTGACTGGAGGGGAAAAAAATAAGTGTGAAAGTCCTAGTTTCAATCTCGAGTCCTGCAATAAAAATCAGTCAATAAATACAGAATAAATAAGTAAGTTTGAGACAGTCTCCCTAAATTGCCCAAGCTGGCCTTGAATTTAAAACTCTCCTGCCTCAGCCTCCCACTAACTGGGATTATAGGCCTATGGCACCACACCTAGCTACCTGGGCACTTAATGAGCATTACAGAAGGCTGTGCCCTAGCCCACAGCATTCCTGATGATCTTGGTCGTGGGGGCCTACGCAGTGGGACTGGAGGTCACTGTGGAGGATGCTTATGCCTCATGGGAACTGTGATACCTTTGAGGTCGTGAGTCACTCCGGCCCTGGGAGACCCTGAATCTCTGGATTTGCAGCTGTAATGAGCATCCTGGGGGTTTTGAGGGAGGGAGAAATACTGACTCTGGGTTATCTGCAAACCCTGATGGCCCCTGATTCCCTGTGCATTTCCTCTCCTGCACTAGGCAGAGCGGAATTTAACACTTTTGGTTTATATTTCCACTGCTAGACAATGGGGAGCTGCTGAGTGTTCTAGAGGAGCAGTGATGTCAGGCTGTGCCGTGTCAACACTAGCAACCTGGCAGTGCCGAGAGGACTGCACTGGAGAAATGGGGAGAGGCCGGTGGGAGAGGGAGCCAGGCAGAACTGCACAATGATTAGGACTTGGGATTTTGACTGGGGATGGCACTGAGTTTAAAACATCTTAGCAGAGCCCACGCCAGCCAGGCACATCCGCGGATGCCGCAGAGGGGTCCCCCGTCGCAGGGAACCCACTCCATCCAGCCCATGCCCTGGGCAGCGATCCACTTAGCCGCGTGGGTGCCTGCAGGACCCCCCCCCGGGCACACACACACACACACACACACACACACACACAAACACACTCCGCTCCTCTGGCCTCTTGGCTGTACAGCCACCTGGTTCCACACTACAAAGACACAGGGGACACTGGACCACCAGACCACAGTACTGGGTAAGTTGGAGGCATCATCACCTCCCAGTGGAACCTGGACTATCTTCAGGGGAAGGGCAGCTGGAACCTGCAGTACAGCCCCGCAGAGTTCAACCCTACAGGAAGACAGGGAGCTCAACTTGGGACTTGCAGCCAGAAATCTGCCTGAATCTCACGGGTCTGCGACTGGCTTGCTGGGACTCATTGACTTATATCTGCACGCGGCTGCCCACGTTGTCTACTGTGACAGCAGAGACATACCCTGAAGGAGGCCCTTCATTTTCATTTTTATTTTTTATTTCCAAAATTAGTACTATTGGTTTGGTTTTTTTCTCCTCTTCTCTTTAATTTTTTTCCCACTCTTTGCAAATTTTTGTTTTTCTCTCCTTTTTTTCTTTCTTTTCTCTTTCCTTTCTCTCTCTCTCTTACACTCACTCTCTTCCTGTCCCACATTGTTCATCTTGCTTTTTGTTCCTGTTCTGGCCCTCATTCAAGTTTCTTCTATATTTTTCTATTATTCTCTTTTTCCTTCGCTCACCTGTGTCCTCTGGCCTCACTGCTAACCTTCCCCTATCCTTCTACCTACCTATCCCTCCCTCCCCAACTCCTTCTAACTCCCCATCCTGAAGGGTAAAGTTGCTATATTGAAGAGTTTATTCATTATATGTTGGGTTGGTCCTCTATTTTGATTTAATTCACACAGTTAAAGGTGATAGATTAATAACTACCACAAAATGTCATTTTCTAAGATGTACTTCATGCTATGGTGTTGCTGATTGTATCACTTGGGCTAAGGTGTTGTGATTGCTCTAGTCAGTGGTCCTTCCTGGTATAATGAAAATGAGACAGCCTCAGAGTCATTAGAGACTCAAAACCTAAAGACCAGCTATATCTGGAAGACACCTCTGAGAACCAATCATTCCATAAGGGTTCTAATTACAAGCAACAAAGATACTTACAATAAGAAATTTTGAAGTATCAACCCAGGAGTTAAACCAAGGACAGTACCAAAAACAAAAATGAGAAGACATTTAAGCAAGGCACAGACTCAGACTTCCACCCCACCAA